CCAAACCAGATCAAGCCGAACACCATAGCTTTGGTTTTGGCCGGGAGCTTGCATTTTTTGGCGTAGCCCTCCAGCAGACAATGCGCATGGGCCAGGATGCTATCTCAACCCCTAAACCCCAAAATCCCAAAAACCCTCACCTTGACCATAGATCCTCCACTCCTTAAAGGTTCACTCGCAGAAGCCCTTACAGCGGAGTAGAGCGAACATAGGGACATGAAACCCCGAGGCGTAATCCTTGAGCTCCAAGCCTGCGTTGACCCCAGTGTCACGGTTTAGGGTTTAGGGTTTAAGGTTTAAGGTTTAGGGTTTAGGGTTTAGGGACCCTGAACCCTAAACCACCAAATCAAAGCACGAATCGCAAACCCCGAAACCCGAAACCCTTGTCAACCCTACACCCTGAAACCCTTACCCCCAAATCCCTAAATCCTGAGCCCTCAAACCCGAAACCCCTAACCCCTAAACCCTAAACCCTAAACCCTAAACCCTAAACCCCTAACCCCTAAACCCTAAACCCTGAGACCTCAAACCCGAAACCCTGAAGGCCTTGAAGCTCCACATCCTAAGCCCCGGAACCCGGGAATCCGATACCCTGAAAACCATGAACCCCCATAGGGTTTAGGGTTTAGGGTTTAGGGATTAGGGTTTAGGGTTTAGGGTTTAGGGTTTAGGGTTTAGGGATTAGGGTTTAGGGTTTAGGGATGAGGGTTTAGGGTTTCTAGAACCCCTACAGAACCCCTGAAGGAGAACCCGAAGCCAGTTCATCAGAAGCGGCATCTGCAGAGAGGCCGTCCTTCCCCTGCGGACTTGCAGCGTGTCTTCAATCGGGAGTGGAACTGAGGGGGCTCTTAGGGCATTAAGGTTTAGGGTTTAGGGTTTAGGGTTTAGGGTTCGAGGAGTTGGTTTGAGGTCCAAGATTTCCGGGTTGCGGGGGATGGCCGACAAGCTATATGGGTCGTTGTCAAAATTATGGTCCCTTTTGGGGTCCTTATTATCATACGGCACCTATTATTTAGGGTACCCCAAAAGGGATCATAATTTTGACAACTACCCATATAGTACTATCGAGCTTGGCGAAACCACGAGGCCATCAACCCGCAAACAGGCCCTCAAGCGCCAGAAACCCTGCACCCCGAAGCCCAAAATCCTCATGCATCACATCTGCCACCCTAAACCTAAACCCTAAAACCCTAAACCCTCCTGTGTCCAGTGTCATGATGCTCATACCGGTCAAAACCACCTCAACCCTACACCTCATAGAACCATGTACCCTTCTAGAGCCCTTACAATCAGAAACTCAACCCCGAGCACAACAAGTAAAACGACCTCGGCGGCGATTGGGCTGCCCTTGTCCCCGTCGCTTGTGTCCCCTCCGCTGGTAGACTCCTGGCAGTAGGGGACTTTGAGGCGTAGCTGGAGTTTGGGGTTTAGGCTTTAGGCCTTGGGTCTCCCTAAACCCTAACCCCAAACCCTCAGGGCTTCTTTGGCTTGTGTAGAGCTCTTGGATTCCATGAATCGGTTGAGGGGGGGTCCAACTTGAGCCCTACAATCATTCCCACACCCCTGAAGCTTACTGCAGCCAGGAACCTGAAAACCCCAGAACCTGAAAACCCCAGAACCCTAAACCCTAAACCCCAAACCTTGAACCCTAAACCCCAGAACCCTGAA